TACCGCTACTCCCCAGACCTCTCCTGGGGTGCGTTATGGCCAGAATTTCGAAGCGAACCCAGCGGTGGCGACGAGGGCCTCCCGGGAGGCCCAGAAAGGGGAAAGCGAGGTGAGGGCAGCGGCATCGGTACCTTTTCCTACTCTGACCCGTGCGCGGAAGGGTCCCACGCTCCGAGACGTTTCCCCTTCGAGCCTCGCCCGGCGACAGCGTGAAGCAGCGCTCCGCCAGGGTCGCCTCCGACGGCACCCCTGCGGGATCCCGCGGCCCGCGCGCGGCGGGCGCCGCCTCCTCGGAGACCGGCTGCTGGTCCAGGAAGGCCAGGCAGCCCAGCTGCTCCTCGGGCGGACGGCAACGGGAGGAAAGTGAACGTGGGGAGGGGGAGTCGAGGACTGCAAGAAAGTGGCCGCAAAGTCAGGAGGCACCAACTAGATTCTGTCAGGTCTGCGTGCGAAGCACTCATGTCTGTTCAGCCCAATCGAAGGGCATCTGAGCCGGATCAGCCCGGAAAGGTTAGGATGAAGCCCGATTAAAACAGAGTAGGCGGGAATGGGCGAAATGAAGCAGGATTATGCTGGAAAGTGGGCCCGTTTTCGATCAGGGGTGTTCCAGCGCCGATGCCGAATGCAGCCTCCCAAGAGTTGATTCCGAACTAGAAAGGGGCCTACGGCTCCTGAACTGCCACCGCTGGCCCCGGAGGTGATGAAAGTGCGTACGCTTCTTCAGCCCGAGCTTGTTGCTCCCCCACCCTTCCACCACCCCCCTTCACGAAGGCACCCGAGCTCCAGGATCATGGCGCGAATGCCAGGCGCCTTCAGCACCGGGTTCCCCGCCAGCCCCAGCGCCTCCAGAGCGGGGGCATCCCTGGCGAGGACTCCGACCACGTCCGTGGACAGCAGCGAGTTCCAGCTCAGGTCGAGCTGCAGCAGGCCTGGGAGACCAGGCAGAGCGCTGACGCTCTGGATCAGGTTGAAGGACACGTCCAGCTGTGTGACCGTCTGGCTCTCCACGCCGATCAGTGTCTCCAACGAATTGAAGGCCAGCAGCAGCGTCCGGAGACTGCCCAGCGGCCCCAGCACGCCGCGCGCGATCCGGCGTATGCCTCGCCCGTGGAGGTCCAGAACCTGTATTCTGCCGAGGGTGTGCGCGTCAAGGTCCGGAGGCAGGGCCCCCCCGCTTGAGAGGAGGCTCGTGCCGTCCAAGCTCTCGATCCTGTCCGGCCTCGGAGGCACAGCATCCTCATCCCTGGCGCCAGGCTCTGCCTGCCCCGCATGCGCACCAACCCCCACGAGGAACGCGTAGTCCCTGAGGAGGCCCGCGAACGGGCCGAAGCAGGGCTCCCTCTCTGGGGCCGCGGCCGACGCCATGTGGAAGTCCAGGTCGACCAAGAACTCCGGCATCACGGCGTCCGCGCGCGACACGCGGACGCTCTTGGAGGCCCCCGCGCCCCCCGAGACGGCCTGCTGCTCTGCCACGCAGGCGCTGCAGACCAGCATCGTGCAGCTGGAGGGCACCGCGGCGCCCGCGGCGCCGCAGCCCGGCGTGGCCGCCGAGCGCGTGGCGCAGCGGGCCTCCAGCTGGGCCGCCTCGAGCAGCGAGCTCGTCAGGAGGGCCGGGCCGCGCTCCGCGGCCTCCAGGCCCTCCTCAGCGACGGCGTGCAGGTGTGCCAGCGCGCTGCTCGCGGACTCGCCTGGGCACCCCGGGGGCGGCACGTAGAAGAGGTAGTCCAGCTGCCGATCGGCGTCTTCGGCGTCGGCCTCTGCGAACAACTCGTCCATGCGGACGCGCAGGCTTCTGTTGTACACCCGCGCCACGCAGTGCACCTTGACGTCCGAGATGCCGTAACCAGCGAAGTCCTCGGAGCGGAACCGGGCGCGAACGAGCTCCTCCATGCTCTGGACCCAAGCGTCGCGCTGGCGGCTGCCGTTCTCGAGGCGCACATTGCCCCCTGTCTGCAATTCGAGCAGGAGGCTCTGGACCAGGGCCCTCTGCGTGTCCTCAACGTTCTTCGCCAAGGCTTCGAGGGCCGCCTCCCCGGCCGACAGCTTTGCTAAGGCCCCCTGGAGCACGCTCTCCCAGCGCTGACGGTCCGCGCCTTCCCCCGCCGTGGCGGCCTCTGGCACGTGCGCCATGGGAGGGTTGAGAAGTCCCGCCTGCGTGTGCGCGTCTCGGCGCTTCAACACCAGCACCGCGCTCTCCATCTCTCCGATCGGCTGCTGCCTAAGCTCCTCATCCAGCGCCCTTGCCCTCCTCAGGCAGTCTGACGCCTGCCGCCTCAGGAGCTTAATCCTCATGCTGTAGTAGAGCCTCTTCTTGGAGAAGGCCGCCTCCGCGCCCTGGTGCTCCTCGGGGCCCACCCGCATCCGGTCGTGCACTGTGAGTCCCGGCAGGTGGTAGAGCGTGTAGGTGGCGTAGTTGGAGAACCCGCAAATCGGGTTCTCACCCCAGTCGGGGTCCCGGAACGCCAGGTCCGTCAAACGCCCAAGCCTCGCGAGTCTGGGCACCTCCCGGAAGGAGCTGACGCGGTTGTCCGCCAGGTTCAGGGTCTTGAGCTTGGCGTTGCCGCTCAGCGCTCCGCTGACGGAGCGTATCGCGTTCCTTGCCGCGTTCAGCTCAGTGAGACTCGTGGCGGATCCTACGCCCAGAAGAGAGGTGAGCCTGTTCTCGGCAATCCACAGCACCTCCAACTGGTCGAGGCCGTTCAGCCCATCGCCGATCTCGTCGATCGAGTTCGTGCACAGATATAACTTCTTCAGGCGCCGGCAGTTCTGTAGACCTTCTATCCTCTCGATCTGGTTTTCATTCAGCTGCAGTCTCTCCAGGTTGGGGCACGCATCTACGCCCTCGAGCCTGGTGATCGCCTGCTGGATCAGGCACACAGACCTCAAATTGACGAAGTACCCGAGAGCCTTCATGCAGCAATAGTCGTCCATCACCATCTCGATCTCCGTGACCCGCTCGGGACGCTGCGTGTCCTCCTCCTCGATTCGGCGGCGCGCCAGCGGGGGAATGCAGCAGACGAGGCGGGCCCGCTCGGAGGGCCTCCGGCCCATCGGGAAACTTCCGCTGAGCCTTCTCCGACGCCACTCCAAAAGGTTTCTCCTTGGAAGGCCGGGCGGAGGGCGTCTGAGAACATCTGCCGCCTCCTGAGAAGATCCGCCCCCTCTCGCCTGCCTCCCCAGCGCGCCGCCGATTGCCAAGAGGCCGACGGCCAGGGGGCCCCAAAAGTTAAGTCGGGCCTGTGCCCATACAGGCCGATTGTTGACGAAAGATTGAGAATACCCCAAACAGACCCTAAAAATGTTCAAAATTTGTCAAAAAATAATCCCCAGGCTATTTTTTGACTCTTTTCGAATCTTCCCCCTGCAGAGGGAGAGACCCGACTTAACCCAAAAGAACAACTGGGCTTATGTTGCTCCCATCGCACTTAAGGACCACATCCCCACATCCCCAAAACAGTTTCGAGCACCCAGAAACATATCGAAGCAGTCTCGAACGAGCACCGCCTCCCAGGGCCCGACACGTGAAAACCCTCCAGTCTCGGTCCTTTCTTGGTGCTCGAAACTCCTTCTGGTGATCAAGGCTGGAGCAGGTTGGAACATCATCGGGGATGGACAAACCTCCCTTTAGCAAAACGTGGTTTAGTGAAAACGACCTGAGGCCCAAACCTGGCGGGCGCAAGCCTGGAAAATAACGGCCACGGCGCCCTCTCGAGAACCGAAAACGGACATTTCACTAATCGACGTGTCACTGTTGGGGGTTCTGTCCACCCCCGACATCATGAAACCAGGCGCGCCCTCCACGAGCAGAGTCCCGCCGACCTTCCGAGCGGCCAGCGGCCCGAGCTCCGATGCTCGGCCCTCGCGGTCCTGCCCGCTCCATTCTCTGGCCCAAGCTTCGGCGAAAGCCCGCCGAGCGTCCAACGACCCCGTCTCCCGCCCCTGCGGGCGAAGGCGCGGATGGCAGAGCACAGCGCTGCCGGCTCTCTCGCCAAATGGGCGGCGCAAAAACCTGGGTCTTGCGCGAGATGGCATGCAGCCGGACCGGGGACAGGAGAACGTCCTCCGAGAACACGAGACCCTCCGCCGGCCAGCCTGAAGAGCAGTCGAGGGTACCCTCCCCCGGGATGCGCAAGAACATCCAACGAACACGAAGACCATTGGGGCACCCTCCCCGAGCCGACCTCGATCTTATACCTCCGTCCACGCGGTGGCATACGCGGGCCGCCAGCGCGGCAGGCTACATGGGAAACGAGGGCGCTTCGTGCGATCTTACGCAAGAAACATACGCGCAAATGTCCGCACAGTCCAAGCCGTGTTTCTGCGTTGATGGGCCTGTTTTCCATCACCGCCACCAGAGAGGGAGGACCCCCTCCCCCTCCTACTTATGGTGGTGGTGGTGGGAAACAAGCCCACCATGCGTTGCTCAAATATTTCGCCCAAGAGATTCCCAACAAGGTCGCGGAGGCCCCGAGTACGACCCCGAGAGCCTCCCCCCAACAAACAACCCCAAAAGGACCTCGAGGAAGCCACATCCCGCCAGAGACTCCAATGACTGCGAAGAGGCCTGCAAGACCACGGCGGAAGGCAAAAAGACACCGACACAAGAGCCTCCAAAGCTGCGGCCCACGGGGGGGCTCCATGAAGACTCCAGGCTACTTCAGCATGCCCTCTTAGTACTGGACCGGCACATAGTTCACTACGACCAGCAACACTGCATTAGACGACGCGCGACCAGACCACACCAGGCAGAGCCATGGTATGTTAGACCGTGGAACAGATCAGCGAGTGACCATTCGCCAGATGGGCTGTTGGAGACACGCAACACGTTCAGAGAAACTTTCAAGCACTGCGGATTCTAAAGGACCCCAGCTGCTTCTAGATGCTGGGAGTGCCCGGCTCGTTGTTTTGGGCGGAAGCCAAGCCGCCGTGGTCCTTGATGCCGTTGGCGTGAAGCATCTGCATGAGGGCCTCGCTTCCTCCTCCAACTTCTTGTTCCCTCATCCTCGCTCCCCTTCCTTCCTCTTCACCCAGGAACGCCTGAGACCCGCCTCCCTCTCACACCTCCTGCTCTAGCCTTGCTGCCTCCGGACACCTCCACAGACTTTCGAAATCATTTTGACCCCTCCGATCCGACCAGAACATAGTCGAATGTGCTCGATGACAGCCGCAAGTCTTAGAACACGTCAGACACAAACACGGCCAAACAATCGGCGACCGCTGACGGAAATAACGGCCACCCCTGCGAAACGCCTCCTCCCTCTGAAACCTCCGACAGAAACATCCAAACACGATACGGGACAACTGTTAGAACGCTGCCGGACCATCTCACCCTCCTGCACGGCCAGACACGGAAACGCGCCAAGCAGAACACGAGAACGCAAGACCTGCCGCCCTCGAGTCCTGGCGCCGTGAAGCACCGCGGCGCTGTGACAATCACAACAGCGACGACACGGCCAGAGCTCCGGACCTCACACCGGAGGAGGAGGAGGAGGAGGAGGAGGAGGAGGAGGAGGAGGAGGAGAAGGAAGAGGAGGAGGAGGAGGAGGAGGAGGAAGGAGGAGGAGGAGGAGGGAGAGGAGGAGGAGGGAGAGGAGAGGAGGAGGAGGAGGAGGAGGAGGAGGCTTCGCCCCTCGAGCCGGACCGAGGCGCGAGGGCCCCGCACCCCTGTGGAACCGAAGCGCCCCCTTCCGCGGAGCGTCGACCCGGCTCGTCGCTGACCCGGGTCAGCCCAAGGCCATGCCGCAGACCTCGGCCACGCCAGCGGGGAGGGAGGAGGGAGGAGGGAGGGAGGGAGGGAGGGAGGAGGGAGGACGGAGCGAGGGAGGGAGGGAGGAGGGAGGCCAGGGCCATGCCGCAGGCCTTGGGGAGTTGCCTCCAGGGCCCAGGTCAGCCAGGGGTGATCAGAGGAGACAGGCTGATCCCGTTGATTGCATCTGACCCCGTCTCGTGAACCCTGGCATCCCCAGGACCCATCTCGACGAGGCCAAACTGATGGAAAGCCACCCCTGGACCCCGAAAGCTCCTGAGATGTCAGAGAAACAAAACACAATTAGCCTGGCGAAGGACCCAACCATACGCAGCTGTAGGTAACTCAGTTGTGAGCATCGTCTTCGGTGGAGGTCCTTATGTGGCCACGAGACGTGTGAGGTGTGTGCGTGTGTGCCGACATGGGTGGGTGGGGGACGCATGAGAACACCGCCACTGGGGCCTTCGATGTTCTCTTTGGGGCCACGAAGCGCGTGAAGGGTGTGGGGGACATGCGAATGCCGCCACCAAGGCATTCGGTAGACTCTACCGGGTAGAGCTCCCTATGGGGCCACGAAACATGCGAGTGGTGTGCCGGAATGGGCGGGGGGGGCGCTCGAGAACGCCGCCAATGGGGCCCTCGGTGGAGCTCCCAATGGGGCCAGCCACGACTCGTGTGAGGGGTGTGCCGACATGGGAACGGGGACAGCGCGCAAGCATTGCCACTCGGGCCTTCGGTTGAGCTCCGCATGGGGCCACGAAGCGTGTGAGAGGTGTACCGAAATGGACATGCGGAGGGCAGACGCAGGAGTGGGACGCTGTCTCTTCAAGAAGACCCAACACCAAATGATGGTTGGCAAAAAACCTGCTGGAGGCGATGGGCACCCTGTGCGCCTATCCCGGTTGCACCGAGCCGCCCTCCTTCGAGACCTCCCCATAGATGGGTCCGAGCAGATGGGCTCGGAGGATCGCGTCGCATCGTGATGCATCGGCGATGTCGGCGATGTATCGGCGACGCCAGCGCGAACAAAAATCAGGCTCCACATCGAGCCGCATCGCCAGTACATCGGCGATGCGGCGCGATCCTCCAACCCTATCTGCCCATCTACCCCGACCCTATCTGGGAATCCTAAATCTTGGCTATTGGTCGGCCGGCCGCCGCACTTCGCTCAAAATCGGCCGCTTCCCAGGGTCCGTCGGGTGCAATTTTCCACCCCAGATCCGTTTTTGATGGTCCCGGGGCCTGGAAAACGGCCCCAGGAGACCGAAGAAGGCAACACATCTCCCCGAACCCATAAACCTCGAACCCCGCACCTGGAGCCACCCCCGAACCTCGAACCTGGACCCGGGGCACCGTGCGCCAGGCGCATCACCCCTGCACTCGGCCTTCCTTTCGCCCACGCTCTGCCGCATGCCTCGAGCCGACGCCGCCGCACACGTCCGCTGCCGTTCGCCTTTGCCGCCGCCCTCTCCCGCCCCTACTCCTCCTCCTCCTCCTCCTCCTCCTCCTCCTCCTCCTCCTCCTCCTCCTCCTCCTCCTCCTCCTCCTCCTCCTCCTCCTACTCCTACTCCTACTCCTACTCCTACTCCTACTCCTCCTCCGCCTCCACCTCCGCCTCTGCCTCCCGCCTCCGCCTCCGCCTCTGCCTCCGCCTCCGCCTCCGCCTCCGCCTCCTCCTCCTCCTCCTCCTCCTCCTCCTCCTCCTCTGATTAGTACCATTGTTATTATTGTGTTTGTTCTTTTCCCTCCTCCTCCTCCTCCTCCTCATGCTCTTCCTCCTCCTCGTCCTCCTCATCCTTGTCCTCGTCCTCGTCCCCATCCTCGTCCTCCTCCTCGTCCTCGCCCTCGTCCTCGTCCTCCTCCTCCTCCTCCACCTTCTCCTCCACCCTTTCCTCCTCCATTCTTTTCCTGATGGATAAATCCTCTCTGTAACACCCACAGGCCGGTCGGCAGGGCGGTCTTGGCGTTTCGCCCGAGACTTCCCTACCACCTATGACCGTGAAGCCTTAAAGCTGGCAGCAGCTTCACACACGGAGGGCGGGTGGTTTTTAACATTTGACTCTCGCTTTGGCATCGCGCGCATTCGTTTTGAATATGTACAAGAGGCTCACGGATTCAGGGTGGATGGTATTCAGCATGTGGTTCTCGCCTTGGCGCCGCGCGCGCACCCGCTGCGAACAATCCAAAAAACTTCGCTGGCTGAGGGCGGCTCTTTTACAACATGTGGCTCTCGCCTGAACGCAGCACGCAATCGTCTTAACCAGGTGCAAGAGTTTCGCGGATTGAGGGCGGGTGGTTTTCAAAATGAGGTTTCCCCGCGTACGTTTGTTTGAAGATGCTAGAACTTCACGGATCAAGGGCGGTTCCTTTTCAAAATGTGGCTCTCGCCTTAGCGCGGCGCACATCCGTTCATAACGTTTGAAAAATGAGAAAAACAAAACGTCACGCGTTCCCATGATCAACGTACCCGCAATGGCGTGATGGAAGAAGTCGGGATCATGAGTGCGGAACAGTTACGCTGATTCGCGGTGTTGAAGTCCCAGGAATGGCGTGTTGGCTCGGTTCAGGATCATCAAAACGCAACAGTCAGGTTGACCCGTGGCTTTTAAATTCCGAAAGCCATGTTCTGGCATGGTTCAGGGTGTTCCGAGGGTTGTCTTCCAACGCAGCAGCCCCCTCAGTGGAAATGAACTGTTGTGGGGGCCAGGGGACTTTGAAAAGGGAACTTGGAGGGAGGGTTTATTCCAACATCGTTGGTGACTCTTGGGTACGTATTGGCCCTACTCCTCCTCCTCCCGCTCCTCCTCCTCCTCCTCCTCCTCCTCCTCATCATCATCATCATCATCATCATCCTCCTCCTCCCCCTTCATTCGTTCCTTCCTTCCTTCCTTCGCGCCCTTGAAGCAGTCCCATGCCCGCGGGCCGGGCGCCACCCCTGCTGGGCCATGCGGTCAGGGGCTGTTCGTGAAGATCGCCTGCGGCTTATACTGCGACGCCTGCGTGCTGACCTCCCCGTGGCCAGGGGCCAGGGCGCGGGCTACCCGGCTCGCAGGCGGCCTGGAGCCCCAGAGAAGGCGGTCACCCGCGGCAGCCCTCGGGGGAGACGCCGCCGGGGCGACCTCGGCTGCCGGGGCTGGCGGCCCGCCGAAGCGACGCCGCCAGCGCCGGCCTTGTCTTCTGCTGCATCTGGTTGGGGGGCGGCTGGCTGGCATGGCTGCTGTGCGTCGGGCCCTGGCTCGGCGCGCCCTGGCCCCCCTGCGCAGCTTCTCTTGCTGGGGGCGGCCCCACTGCGCGGGTGGTTCGGCGTTCTCCACGATGGCGTCGAGCTCCTGCGCCTCTCGCGCAGAAGCCGCCGCCTCCACCGGGTCCGCCCCGAGCCAGCCGGCCAGCGCGGCTGGCGACGCTGGAGCTCCTCTGGCGGCCGCCGCCCTGCGCCAATCGGCCGCGCCCGGGCAGTGCGTGACGAGTTGCGCGGTCGACTCCAGGCTGGCGTCGCACAGGCGGTACACCGGGATCTGGCCCACGCTGTCCGCCCTGGGTGCCCCCCGGCAGCGAGGAAGCTTTGGAACCCCCATTGCCAATGTGCGGTGCGTGCGAGGTTTGCCCGCTGGTCTCGCCACCACTTTTGCTCGCAGGCGGTGATCGCCCAGCGGGCTTGGGCCCGCTGGAGGATGGCCCACCGTTTCCGCCTGGCCGTGCGCCGGGGCGGCGCTGCTGCGCGCAGCCGTCAAACGCCTCGGTCCCGGGAGGCCGCGTCCATGGCGGCGGTCCATGTCCCAGGGGTCTGCGCTGCCACTTCCACGACCATCGCTGTGTACCTGCGGTCCACGAACGCTCGGGCCCAAAGCATGATCACCCTCTCCGGAATACCGCGGAGAGCCGCTTCCAGCACAGCTATTGCAAGAGGATCGCCTGGGGGACGGGATCTGTGATGCCCAACGCCCGTGTGCCCCACTTGTCCTGGACGTGGTGGGGTGTCCGGGCGAAGTCCGTCAGGTGGGCGCACGGCTCCACGCCGGCCAGCGCCGAGGGCGCTGCGCACGCCAGCAGCGCAGCCATCTGGTCCGCGATGGGGAAGCCCGCTGCCCCCATAGCCGCTACGTCGCTAGGTGCCTGCTGCCCAGCCGACCCGCCGCCTCCACGCTGGCGAACGGGTGGGCGTGCCCTGGCACGCCTGCGTCCCTCAAGATTCCCGAGGCAATAGGCGTCGACGAACAGGACGTCGCCGCACGGACGGGTGTCCCGCAGTCCCCATGCGAGGGCAGCCGTTTTGGTGGGCCCGTACCGCAGCCGCCAGACGTGCCGGCGCGAGGCCGCCGCCAACGCCTCGGCAACGGTGCCGCAGTTCCCTCGGGATGAAGCCTTCGTGCGCATGTCGTCCACGAGCGCGCGCAGGCCAACTCGCACCGTGGCCGTGCTGTCCAGTGGGGCGGCACGGACCGCGTCCGTCGAGGCACCCTCCACGATCATGTCCCAAAGGCACCGCCCTCCTTGGGCACCTGCCACAGTGCCACCTCGACGTCGTGCAAGATCGTGGCATCCGTACCGCCGGTTGCCTTCAAGTGTGCTCGAAGTGCGTCAGGATACGGGTTGAGCCCGCCCCCAGGGCTTGCGAGAGACGCTATCATCTCCAACTTGGCAGCGGTGCCCACGCAGTACATGGGCGGGCTGCAGACTCGCCCCTCGGGCATGCCGACGCGCGGCCGGAAGGTGGCCGATCGGAAGCCCCCTGCCACCACTGACTGCGGTCTTCATTGATGCCATGGCTTCCAACTGCAGCCACGCCCGGCCTCGCAGGTCAGCCCGCTCGGCCGCGCCAACGAGTGATTCCCAGCGGTCCTGCGAGTCAAACGACTCGGCCTCATCTTTGAACACTTCCGCACGCGGGCGACCGTGCTCATTGAAGATTGAGCTGCACTCCTAGTCCAGAAGGCCGGCTACCATTAAGTCGGGCGCGTCCCCCTACAGGGGTATTTTCGATGAAAAATAACAGTTACCCCAAAAATACTTCAAAATAATCAAAAAAAAACCTGACATCTTTTGACTACTTTTGAACATTCCTCCTGTAGAGGGGCGGGCCCGACTTAAGGCTACCAAGGAGTCGCCGCCCGATCTTGCATCGGCGGGACCGCGGCCTTCAGGGCGGGAAGGTGCCGGCCTGCCCAGAGCTCCTCCAGCAGGTGGCCCTCCAGCGAGCAGAGGAGCAGCACCCTGAAGCTGTCGAAGTTCATGCGACTCTTGTCTTAGGTCGGGCCTGTACCCCTGATTACGGGGGGGATTTTGGGTGAAAAACAAAAAATACTCCAAAAATACCCCCCACATAATCATAAGGTAAAAAACATCGTCCCCAGACTATGTTTAAACAAAGTTTGAATTTTCCACCTGTAGAGGGACAGGCCCGACTTAACTCTTGTCCTCTTCTGCCTTGTGGTAGTTGGCCTGTACAAGCCGCAGGCTCGCCGCCGTGCCGAACCTGCAGCTGAGCGTAATAGGCGCCAGTAGGGCCAGGACTGCGTCCATATGTTTACTGTGCAGTGCATAACCGCACGTGGGAGCCCCCAGCATGGGGCTCGTGTTTTGATCTTCCGGACTGCTGCCTCCAGCTCTTCCTCCGTGCACGTTTGCCGCGGGTCCCAGGTGCCCAAGGCGTCGCGCGCTTTGCGCCGGAGGTACCCCATCCGATGGTCGAGGCAGGTGGAATGGGCCAGGTCCCAGTCCGCACCAGGGCTGAACCTAAACGGTGTTTTTCGTTTTCGGTTTGGTTTCGTTTCCCCTCGCTTTCGTCTCGAATCCGCCTTTCACCGCAAAACGAAGTCGAAACGAAAACGGCCCACGAAATCGCCAAAAGCATAGCTTGGGCCCAGCCCTGGCCCGCACCCCACGGCGGATTGCCCCTTCGCCGCATGTGCTGCGCCGCGCCCTCCACCGCCGCCGCGGGCCCGACCAGGTGCTTCGCCGGGCCGTCGGGGGCCCGCGTGATGTCGGGGAGGCCAAGCGCTGGCTGCATCGCGACTCGGCGGAGTGCCGCAGCGGCGCCCTGGGGGCGCCTCCTCCTCCTCCTCCTCCTCCTCCTCGTCCTCGTCCTCCCCCTCATCCTCCACCTCCTCCTCCTCCCCTCCTCCTCCTCCCCTCCTCCTCCTCCTCCTCCTCCTCCTCCTCCTCCTCCTCCTCCTCCTCCTCCTCCCCCCTCCTCCTCCTCCTCCTCCTCCGCCTCCTCCTCCTCCTCCGCCTCCTCCTCCTCCTCCTCCTCCTCCTCCTCCTCCTCCTCCTCCTCCTCCTCCTCCTCCTCCTCCTCCTCCTCCTCCTCCTCCTCCCTCCTCCTCCTCCTCCTCCTCCTCCTCCTCCTCCTCCTCCTCCTCCTCCTCCTCCTCCTCCTCCTCCTCCTCCTCCTCCTCCTCCTCCTCCTCCTCCTCCTCTCCTCCTCCTCCTCCTCCTCCTCCTCCTCCTCCTCCTCCTCCTCCTCCTCCTCCTCCTCCTCCTCCTCCTCCTCCTCCTCCTCCTCCTCCTCCTCCTCCTCCTCCTCCTCCTCCTCCTCCTCCTCCTCCTCCTCCTCCTCCTCCTCCTCCTCCTCCTCCCCCCTCCTCCCCCTCCCCCTCCTCCTCCTCCTCCTCCTCCTCCTCCTCCTCCTCCTCCTCCTCCTCCTCCTCCTCCTCCTCCTCGAGCCTCGTTGCCCCCCCCCGACGTCCGAACCATCTGCTCGCACACCAGCTGGGAAGCCCCTCGACTCCTGCCGCGCGCCGCCGTCGGGCAGCGGGGGCGCCTCTCTTCTCTCAGCATCGCCGCCTCCGCTGGCCTCGCCCCCTGCCGCCATGCCGGCACCCTCCGCGCCCTGCACGCGGGGGGGGGGGGCGCCGCGGGCTGGCGGCGGCGGCGGCCGACGAGAACCAAAGACCGACGGGGAACGAGGACGGCCGATGACGGCGACGGACGGACGATAAGCGACGGTGACGGACGGCGACGAGGGCGACCGTAGGCGATGGACGGCGCGGACGACGGCAGCGGCAAGGGCGAGGACGGCGCTGACGACGACGAGGACGAGGACGAGGACCAGAATTACGATGACGGCGTCGAGGGCAAGGACGACGACGAGCACGAGGGCGTCGAGGACGACTTCGCTGACAGCTTTGTCCCAACCTTCCGTTGTTGGGATCTCGTCTTGAATCGAGCACTGTGGTCGCGTCCTACTCCCGTCTCGCTCCCGCCCCCCTTCTGAGGGACTGCGACTTGCGAAACTGTCGCCACTTTCGAGGGCTGCTGGGGGGGCGAGCACAATTTCGCCATACCCAAACTCAGATTAGACCTCGCCATCCCTGGGGGGGCTGCTGCGTGCGAACTGTCGCCACTTTCGAGGGTTGCTGGGGGGCAGCACAATGACTCCATACCCAAACTCAGATTCGATCTCTGCATCCCTATGGGTGCTGCGATCAGCGAGTCGCCACTTTCGAGGAATGCTGGGGGGGGGGCGGCAGCACAGTGTCGCCATACGTGGTTTGAGACTCGACCTCGCCATCCCTGTGGGGCTGCGCTCTGCGAAACTGTCGCCAAGTTCGAATTTTACGTGGAGTGCCAGCACAGTGTCGCCAATCGCGGGTTCAGATTCGACCTCGCCATCCTAGAGGGGGCTGCGATTTGCGATTATGTCGCCGCATTCGAGAGATGCAGGGGGCCACCACAGTGTCGCCATACGCTGACTCAGGTTCGAACTCGTCATCTCTGGAGGGGGGGGGGGGGCGATTTGCGAAACTGTCGCCACTTTCGAAAATTGTTTGGGGGGCCAGCACATTGACGCCATACGCGGGTTCAGAATAAACCTCGCCATCCTTGGATGGGGCTGCGACCTGCGAAACTCTCTTCACATTCGAGGGCTGCTGGGCTGGGGGAGCGGGCAACACAGTGTCGCAATACCTAAAATCATATTCGACCTCGCCATCTTGGGGGGGGTCAGCACAATGACGCCATATGCGGACCCAGATTCGATACCTTCGGAGGCACCCCTGGGGTGCGCAGCATCGTGGGACCTTACCCAGGCTCGGATTACACGTCGCCGTCCCTGGGGGCTGCAATCTGCGACGCTGCAAACATGTTCGAAGGCTGCTGGGAGCCCAGCACACTGGGTGCCCTACCCACAGTCAGATTCGACCTCGCCATCCCAAGGGTGGGGGCGTGATTTGCAAACGGGCCGCGACTTTCGAGGTCTGCTGTGGGGGCCAGCAAGTGACGTCACACGCGGAGTCGGATTAGACATCGCTATCCCGAGGGGTCTGGGAAGTGCAACACGGGCGCTACGTTCAAGGGCTACGGGCAAGTCCAGCACTGAGGGGTCCTATCCAGATTTAGACGTTGACCTCGCCATCCCTAAAAAGCTGCGGTGTGCGAAACCGTCGCCACTTTCGAAGGCTGATAAGGGGGTCCAACGGAATGGCGTAGTACGCAGACTCAGACTAGACCTCACCATCCCTGCGGGGCTGCGACCCGCGAAACCGTCGCCACTTTCGGGGCCTGCTAGGGGGGTCCAGCATAGTGACGTCATACGCAGACTCAGAATAAACCTCACGCTCTGTGGAGCCGCAATCTGGGAAACTGCCGCCACATTCGAGGGTTACTGGAGGGGGAGGGGCAGCCTATTGACTTCCTGCGCCCTACGTATACTTAGGATCCCTCCGGGGCTGCGATCTGCGAAACGGTCGCCACTTTCGAGGGCTGCGTTTGGGGGGTGGGGCAGCACAGTGTCGCAATACCCAAAATCGGATGCGACCTCGCAAACCCTGTGGAGCTGCGATATGTAAGACTGTCTCCACTTTCAAAGCCACCTGGGAGGGTCCAGCATGGTGACGTCATGCGCAGTCGCACATTCGACGCCACCATCCCTGCGGGGCTGCGATATGCGAAACGGTCGCCACTTTCAAAGCCTGCTGGGGCATCCAACGTAGTGACGTCATTCGCAGACTCAGAATCGACGTCCCAATCCCTGAGGCTGCGATCTGCAAAACTCTCGTCACTTTCGAAGGTCGCGTTTGTTCGGCTCTTCATCTGCCGCCCCCCCTATTTGCCGCCCTTGTCCCCGTCGAGCGTGGGGCCTAAATGCCTCTCTAAAGCCCGTGTCTATCAATCGGTGTCCTGCGAGTCGCGCAGCTCGCGAACCTCACAAGTAAAGCTCGCAGACAAGATACCTCCTTGCCACGAGATCCCCCCAATAGTCGACCCAGCTACTCTGGCGACAAATTTCGCAGATGTTGGGTGCATCGTCCGGATAATTGTCTGTTCGGGGAGGGGCGAAATTCTTTAAAGGAGTCCTACAGTGTTCTGAAGGCTGGGTGCGGATGGAGGGGCCAGGTGGGGATGGGGGGAAAAAGTGGGCATTGGGGGGGATCCGTAACGGCAGCGGACAGGGTGGGGATGGGGACGGGAACAGACCGGGACTTTAGGATATCAAAAAAAGACGAGGAGGACGAGGACGATGATGTGGAAACGAAAAAGGACGAGGATGCTGGGGGCTGAAGGGTGGTCGGAGAGGTAGGGGAAATTGGAGAGGAGGAGGGAAAGCAGCGAGTGGAGGAGGAGAATGGCTAGATGCATGAGAAAAGGACGTAGAGGACTGAAAGTAAGCGGACCGTGAGGAAGGAGGGGTAGCGCGCATCTTCCCATCTCCTCCTGATCCATGAACCTTCACCCCCTCCTCCTCAATCGTCCCCCCCATGCTCTTTCGCCTCCTCTTTTGTCCCTCTGGTTGTTGTCGTCCCTTTCCTCCTCCTCCTCCTCCTTCTCCTCCTCCTCCTCCTCCTCCTCCTCCTCCTCTTTCTCCTCCTCCCCCTCCTCCATCCGGCCTCATCCCTCCCTGACCGCCGCCGTTCGCTTCCTTGCCGCCGCCGCCGCTGCCGCCGGCATACCCTTCCTCACCACGGCCGCCGCGGCCGCGTGCCTGGCCTGGCCCAGGACTGCCGCGGCGGCGCCGTCGCCCCCACCCGCCAGCCCCCCGGGGAGGGGGGGGGGCGGCGGAGGCGGCCCCCAGGGTCGGGTGCTGCCAGAAGCACCCCGGGCCCAAGGCGCCCCCAGGACTCTCTCGGTGTGGCCCAGGCGGCCTCCAGGGCAGCCCCTCACAAGGGCCCAGAGGGCCCCGTGGGGCTCCAAAATGGAGCGAAAAGCTGGGGGCACCTTGGGCCAGGGGCACTCCTGGCGACACCCGGCAGGGGGGAGGGCGGCGCGCGGGGGCCCGCCCACGCGCGCAGCGTCGCGCGGGGTCTCGGGCCGAGGGGGCGGGCGGAGCAGGGCACGGCGGCTGGGGGGCTCGCCGACGGCAGGGGCGGCGGCGACGGCGCCGATGACGACGGCGGCGGCGACGACGACTGCGAGGACGAGGAGGGAGACGACGACGAGGGCGGCGGCGGCGGCAACGACACCGGCAACAGCGACGACCTCGGTGACGAGGGGCCGACTACGAAGTCGCGTTCCTGCCGCTGTCCCGCGTGCGGTCGGGAAATGGCGTGCAAGAGCTGGCGCACCACCATCTTCAGGGAGGCGCCGTGGGCCGGTTCTGCTCAGACCGTGCACGGTCTGATGATATGATAGCAACTTCGATCCCCGCAACCTTCCCGTGGATTATGAAGTTCGGCCTCCGCGCCTTCCTCCACAATTAAATCCTATTGGCCGGAGAAAAAACATTCGGGGGGTAAGGAGGGGGGTACTTTAGTATCGCCCGCGGTCGATTATGGTGGAGCGCGTGGGGCTCCAGGGCCCTGGGCCTCTTGGTCAAAATGACCGTGCCGATCTGATGCGAAACGTGCTGTCCTGTGCAGGACCATGGGGCCCCGATGATCGAGGCGGCCGGGCTTCCTGCCCTCATCCAAGCGTCGGAAGTCGAGGCCATTCGGCCAGGGAGGGCCGCGCGGAGGAGGAGGAGGGGGATGATGATGATGATGATGATGATGATGATGATGATGATGATGATGATGATGATGATGATGATGATGATGATGATGATGATGATGATGATGATGATGATGATGATGATGATGATGACGACGACGAGGAGGAGGAGGAGGAGGAGGAGGAGGAGGAGGAGGAGAAGGAGAAGGACCCTCCAGGAGCAGCAGTTCATAAGACCCCCACGAGCCCCCGTGGCCTCCAGGACAGCGCCAGAACGGATGCTTTCGGAGGGGGGTGTCCACGGCCCGGAGCACTCGGCCTGGGAGGCGGGATGGATGGAGGGATGGAGGGAGGGAGGAGGGGAGGGGGAGGGATGGAGGGAGGGAGGGGGGAGGGATGGAGGGAGGGAGGGGGGGAGGGAGGAAGGATGGATGGATGCAGGAGGGAGGGAGGGAGGGGGAGGGGATGGGGAGGGAGGAGGGATGGATGGAGGGAGGGATGGAGGGAGGGAGGGGGAAGGAGGGAGGAAGGGGGGAGGGGATGCAGGGAGGGAGGGAGGGGGGAGGGGGAGAAGGGCGGAAGGGAGGAGGACGGAGGAGGGCGAGGGAGGCCCGGCAAAAGGCGCATCCTTGACGACCTGACAGGGGTCCGCTGTGCGAGGTATCTTGCCGCAGTCTATTCTCCAGACGTTCGCCTCCCTCTCCCTCGTATAGGGAGGGGGGCAGGGACTGGGCGGTGGAGAGGAGGCCTCGTTCGTGGCCCCAAGCCATGACTCGAACTCCAGCCAAGGAAAAAAAAAAACGACGGCCTGGCACACGCCGGGAAGAATCTCGGTCGGGCCAGGCTGGATTCGAATGGACGGACATCTTGGATGGCACCAAAACAAAGGAGGGAGAAGGAAACGGGCGGGAAGGAGGAGAAGGGGAAGAAGGGATACAGAAGCAGGGAAGGGAGGGGGGAGGAGGAGGAGGGAGGGAGGGAGGAGGAGGGAGGGGAGGCGAGGGAGGGGGGGAGGGGGGGAGGGAGCAGAGGGGGACGCCGTAGGGTACGACGTTCGAAGCTGTGAAAGGCAAATGGGTCCTCCCCACGTCGGCTACGCGCAGGAGTGGCCCTGGGTACGAGTGACCTCTGGTGCGCGGACTCTGGGGGCCGCGGGGGGGCCGAAAGCAAGCGCGCAGGTCGTCACTGTCGCACCGCGCTCCGCGACCGGGGGGGCCCTGGTGGGCCCGCACCAGAGGTCGCTCTGGCGAAAGGTCACTCTTACGTCTAATCGGCCACGGCCGTCCTCGATTGCCGAGAGGGTGGAGTCGATGCCCCAGAGTATCTCTGGCCCTTCTGGACCTAGACGCCCCACGTCGGGAGGAAGAAGCAGGGAGGTAGGACAAACGAGGAGAGAGATGAAGGATGGGAATGGGGAAACCGACATATACCGATACCGCTACAGTAGGGGCCCGACCACAAGAAGCCTTCTACAGGAAACCCAACCCTGAGACCCCAGGACATCCATCGATTTTCGGTGTGGGAACGTCACGCTTCCCACGGCAAAACCATCGGAAGCCAAGAAGCACAGGGCACCCTAGTGGCAAGCAAGGTGTTTCCTGGCATGGGTCTCCACTGTACTCCCCAGACCTCTCCTGGGTTGCGCTCTGACCAGAACTTCGAGGCGGACCCGGCCGTGGGGACGAGGGCATCCCAGAAGTCCCCCCACAAGCGAAAACGAGGGAGGAATACAGCGGCACCGGTGCCTCTTCCCTCTCCGAAGAGCCGAGAGGGGGGGGGGGCGAAGGGAGGTGCAAGTCCCGGCGAAGCGAGTCTGGCCACGAGCGGCGAGCATCGAGGGAGGAACGCACACGTTTTTGGCGCCCCCCCCTCTCGGGCGAGGCGGGCCCGTGTCCTCGAGGCGGCTGGCCACGCCGCCCGCCGCCACGCGGCGCACACGCGGCCTCCCCGCAGGGGCCCGCGGGCGGGCGGGCGGCGGGAGCCCTGGGCCGGGGGCTCGTCAGGCGCACTTGGACGCGAGGTTGACCGGGACGAGGAGCGCGAGCGCCGCTCCTGCATGGGAGGGGGGGGGGGGGCGGGTCTTCCGCCTCCTCCCTCCCCTCCTGCACGGTGGCCTGCACATTTCGCGCTCCGTGCGTCCCACCGACGCCGCTGTCGCCAGCGCAGTGACTCTGCCTCTGGCCGCCGACGCAACAAAAAGAAATGGGGGGGGGGGCGGGCGGGCCGGGCCGGCGGCGGGGCGAGGGACGCGGGGGGGAGGCGGAGAGGGTGAAGGGGAGGGGGAGAGCGGGGAGGGAGGGGGGGCCGATGGGGGAGGCGGATGAAGAGGGTGAGCGTGGCGGAGGGCGGTATCCCCCCTCGATCCCCCTCACATGCCACATGCCAAGACGGAGTCTGAAGCCTGAGGCCTTAGACTACCGACCTCCTCCTCCTCATCCGCCTTCTCGACTCTCCCCCTCTCTCTCTCCTCGATCCTCGATCCTCCTCCTCTCATTCCTCGAACATCCTCTCCCTCCTCAACCCTCGATGCCACGAAGACGACGCAGAGTCCGCGGGGACCTCAGGAGGTTTACGATCAGAGACTCTTGCTCAGGGTGTCGTGGAGGCAGCCCCTGCGACACGCCATCAGCTTGCAATAGGGGAACGAGCAATGCCGTAAACATAGCAACTCGGAGCTCCGCGCGGACCTCCGAGCTGGTATGTCTGTGCCATTGTTCGTTCCCCTATTGCACGGCGGCGCGTGCGCGGCCCCAGGTGGGGCCAGGGACGTCCTGAAATCAGAAGCGGCGCCATGAAGTCTGGGGACGTATCATGGCCCCCGCCATGCTGTCCATCCCCCCTCTGGCCATCGCTCGGACGTCCATGTCCTGTGTTTTTTTGGGTTTCGTGCGTGGCTTTTTCGCCAAATGATCAAGGATGCTCCTCGATGGTCCTCGCCGACGGAAAAATGCACACGTCCGTGCGATGCCAAGCCCTAGTCCTCACCCCCCTCCTGGCCGCCCCCGATGTGCCCTGCGAGCCGCTGGCGTGTCGCTCTGCTTCGTGGGGCGAAGAGGCGGGGCACACAGCCTGGAGAGCGCTGATGCTCCGGGGCGGGGGATGCGCTCCGCGCGTCGCGCCGACGCGCGGTGGGGCCAGAAGCTGACAGCGCGACGCGCTGCGCAAACGATCCTGGCCTCCCCCTCCTCCCCCTCCCCCTCCCCCTCCTCCCCCTCCCCTCCCCCTCCCCCTCCTCCTCCTCCTCCACCTCCTCCTCCTCCTCCTCCTCCTCCTCCTCCTCCTCCTCCTCCAGCCCCAAGACGCCTCCAAGACGGCCAGGACGACCCCAGGAGGGCCCAGGATGCCACCAAGACGGCCCAGGATGGATCCTTTGCTGAGCCACATGACACGCGGTCCGGCCACGTGGCACGTGGTCACGGGCGGGGAGCACCGTTCCCCGCCCGACAGGTTGGGGACCCTGGATCTGAAGGAGAAGGGCCCCCGACCCGCCTCGCACACCCTGCACGACAGGGATCGACCCAAAAGCTGTGTGCTTCGTTCTCGCTGTGCTCTCGCTTTTCCTCGTCGTGTCCTCACTGCGCCCTTGCTGCAGCGCGACATCGAAACGAAAACGGCCCACGGAATCGCCCAAACACCGTCGCGGTCCACCCCTGCCTGCACAGTGCGGCCGCCAGTCCCAAGGTGTGCCGGCGATCCCTGGGCATCCCGCCTCGCGCCTTCGACGGATGACCACTGCATGCCGCGGCCGCAGGGCCCCACGTGTGCCGCTGCTCCCTGCGGGTCCCGCCTCGCGTCCTCGCGCGGGGCTCGCTCGGGCCCACATCGATGTGAGGCTGTTTTTTGTCCTCGGGGGCCTCGGTCGTCCTCCTCTCCCTCCTCGCGCCTGCCCCCCTTCGAACTGGGCCCGTTGCGGAGGTCCGTAGCTCACGAAGGCATACGCGGCGCGCTCTCGGAGCTCGGGTATCTTCGTCCTGCGGTGGGCCACACCGTCACCATCCGCACCCCTCCTCCTGTCCTGAACTTCTCCTCCTACTCCTCCTCCTCCTCCTCCTGCTCCTCCTCTTGCTCATGCCACTCCTATTTTCCGTCCCACTCCTCCCATGTCTCCCTCCTTTCCGTCCCCATCTCACCATGTTTTGCGTTGGGCGGACCTTTTATGTGCTATGCCTGTAGCGTCTTGGCTGGCAAAAAAGGAATGTCAAACCGATTTAGAGCAAGCGGCAACAAATCAAGGCTTCGGTCAGCGCGAGAATACGTGAAGCAGATAGAGTTGGCAAAGTAGAAGTGCACGAGAGGGCGAATAGTAGGTAATCGAGCAGCCAGTGAGGGAGAGGAGGGGGAGTACCAACACAATGAGAATTGTAAA